AGCGGATACTTGACATCTCATTACACCCGGGCCCAACAGCAGGGTCTTTGAACGGGTAGATGGAGCAAATCACCCCGTTGGCGACAAGATTCGCCACCATGACCCGGAGCCCTGCTCGCCAGGAGCGCTCGATCCAGGCGTAGTAGTTCTGCTGGTGGGTCTGGGAGTCGTATGCTGGCCAGGAGGCAAAAGTCGGCCAGCCGACGGGGTCGTGGATGCCGTCGCCGCCTTTGGTGAGAAAGTCGAACAAGGCTAGCGAGCCGTTGGGGTAGTGCTCTGGGCAGTCTTTTAGGGCGGTTGAGATACCACCGGATGTGGAGAAAGGCTGCCCGCAGAGGAGACGCCCGCCAAAGGCCCATGACGAGGTTGGGTGGTTGTGTGCGTCGATGAAGCCCTTTATGGGGGAGGCGGCTTGGTTGGAGTTTAGGAAGGGAGGGCCGGTTACGTTGATGAATGAATCGGGGGTTGGTCGGGAGGGGGGGTCCCACCAGTTTGCGGTCGGGGCTGCTGAGCTGAAGGTGAGAAAGAGAAGCAAGATGGGGATGACGGAAGGCGCCATGGTGATGTTGGGATGTGACGATGCAGAGGAAGGAGGAAGTGATGTTGTGATGGTCAAGTAAGACGATGCCCGCGACTTCAACGACGAGGGACTGGTCTCATGCTGATATGTCTGGATGAACAAGAGCAATGAAGATAGCTAAGCCCTTGAGCTAATGATATGGTCACCTTTTCTCGCTGGTAAAGGGCCAAAAGTTCCGATTACCCCAACCCATCGCTCCGGCTGTGAGACAGCGGAATTATCGAGGAAGGTGACACAAGATTTCATTGTTCCGACGTTCATGGTTGAGTGGTCGTTCTCAGGCAATGACCGGTCAGGAAATGGACGATCAGTGCCGTTTTGGGGAGGCTTACAGCAATTTAACAAGGGTTTTAACGCCAACCAGTGGCACCACAAGTCTCGAACCAGCTGTCGACTTTTGATTTCACGAAAAAGTTCAGCTCTGACGAATGTGGCTGCCTATAATACGGCGCAGAGAGTAGCATGAACCAAACAAGCCATTCCTTCCAAGCATTCCCATGTCATATTCAATTCGGGGCTAAGACTTTGCCGTAGTTGAGAACTCGAGTTTCTGCGGTGAGTGGTGGCATCGGAATCGGGATTAGAGAAGCTACGGCCCGGGCTGATGGTGTGTGGGTGGTGGTATTCCATGCAGGCAGATGTCATAGGCCAGCCATTTCAGGTACCGGACGGCACGACACGATTCGATACCATACTTGTAGGCTGGGTCGAGCTGAGAAAAACAGGAAATTACCTGCCTTTCTTTACGAGTACAACGCTGATTCGGGGGGGGGGGGGGGCACCAGTGATGAAGAAAATTCCTTTTGATAGCTGGCGTGCTACCCAGCTTCTTTGTAAGTCGGGACAGCTGCGTAGGAATTACTACGCTGTATCTTGTTTTCTATTCAACAATAACATGAGAAAAGTAAATGGATAACTAGGCCCGGATAAAGATGCCTTTTGGGACGTTTCTGCATGGCAGGTTGAAAGAAGCTGAGAGCAGCTTCCCGGAACTCATAAGCATCTCCTACAATCGGGTTTTTGCATCTCTCATGATTTTGAGCCTCTCGATTCCAGAATTTGACCCCGGAAACGCGTGACGCCAAGTGAGATCCCAGCCTGTCATGGACAATCATGAACCGCCATTCTGGTACACAGCGGTGTCGGAATTCTGGTGACCAATCATTTCTTAACCTTGAACACGCCAGCATTTCGCCCACTATCTTGCACTTGACAAACCTTGACCATAAGGAGCACCTCAGGTAGCAAATTCTTCTGTACGGAAGGGATGCGATGTCAGCTGTGTGGCAGATGCTAGAACACCCCAGGGCAAGCAAGAGAAAGACAGGTGCCCCCAGGTGCTAGTCCTGGCACCACCTGGTCTCAGTGTCTCTTATTTTGGACCCTGTTCTTTGTGTATTACATGATATAGAGTGGAAAGACTCCGGTCAGTTCACAAAAGCAGATTGTATCAGGGCGAGCATCGTGATGCTGGCCTCATCTTAAAGTCCAGGCAGGGCACACATTTACCTGAAAGGGCATTTGATGTTTGGTGACGTAGAGCGGTGTCCTCAACGGTCAACCCGTTTCTCATCCTCTAGGGGCTTGAACTCTAAATGTCGAGGTTCACTTCACTTTCATGGTTGTGCTTAAGCTTTCTTGAACGGAAGAGCAAGCAAATGCTCGACTTCCCGTCTCTCTGCCTGCGGCGGCGGTCGGTTTCAACATCGTCGGTGGGGGAGGGGGGGAGGGCTGGAGAAAAAAAGAAAAAGAAGACTTGGAGAAATCCAAGGTTAAGCCGACCCAGTGGTTGGATTTGTCTTGTCCTTCCGGGTCTTCATAACGTACAAGCCAGGCTCGTAGAACCAGTATGATATAGCTCCAAGTCGTTACTGGATAATGAGCCTTGGTCACATCGGTCTTGATCGGTGTGCCAAACTTATTGTCTAGTGACGACTTGGAAGCTGTGTCATACTGGCCCTGCGAGCCTGGCTTGTGCGTCACGAAGATCTGGAATGATGAGACGAATTCAACTGGGTCTAGTCCTCGGCAAGACATTAAAATGCCGGCCCAGTGGTTGGATTCGTCTTCTCATTCCAGATCTTGGTTACCCATAAGCCAGGCTCGTAGAACCAATATGACACAGCTCCAAGTCGTTATTGGATAATGAGATTGGTTACATCGGTCTTGATCGTTTGTGCCAAACTTATTGTCTAGTGACGACTTGGAAGCTGTGTCATATTGGCCCTGCGAGCCTGGCTTGTGGGTACCGAAGATCTGGAATGAGGAGACGAATTCAACTGGGTCTGTCCTAGACAAGACATTAAAGGGCCGACCTCCGATGGCTCCTGCCTCTGGGATGGAGCCCCAGTCATACTTCTACCGCCTTGATCAAGTGATCAAGCGGCTAGAGTTTAACTGTCCGGAGGTCTATCCTCGGCAAGACATTAAAAGGCCGGCCTCCAGGTCAAACTTGTGCTGCTGTGATGAAGTCATCACAACGGCACAGTTTAACGTGGAGGTCTGTCCTCGGAAAGACATTAACAGGCCGGCCTCTATTGAATACCACGTAGGAGATGCCTTCAAAATAGAGTTATTAATACTTATAAAATACCCTGACGAGGCATGCAAGCTACCACCTCGTAAGGAAAGCAATGCTTCACTCAAAACAAACACTCAAAAAGCCAACTTTTATGGGGGCAAGCCCCTAAACCCCCAGTCTTTTGGGGGCAAGTCCCCAAGCCCCCGGCGAAATACTGTTGATGAAGTCATCGTCGTTGTTGGCTATGTGAGGATCGTATAGAGGAACAACCACCCTATACACCCTCATACGTACTATACATACCATTTACTTGATTGGATCTTCCAATCAAGTCTAGTTGCTCTTTTGGGCTATGTTACGTAGTGGTGTGGTATGTCACGATCGTTACACCAGTCAACTAGGCCAAATACGGAAAAATAGGCTATTTTAGAAGTAGTATAGTGTTCTGTTAAGCTGCAAGCCTCTACAGGGTAGGCTGCAGTACAGTAACCCTATAGAGGATGCTGTAGATCGGGCTCGGTAATCCACAGCGTGCGTAGCGGAAGACGTAGCTTATAGCTACACCGGTGTTGGTGAGACGTGGAAACAGCGAACAATTCGGCTGTAACGTAGTGGTGGTGCAGTGAACGATTCAACTGCAATGGTAGGTGTAGTGGTGAACGATTCAACCAAATAAATACAAGTGAAGGCACAACGAACTGTGCGCTGTATAAGAGAGGAGAGGGCTCTGAATTACAATAACTATTGTACAGGAGATCTGCTGCTCTGCCTGTCACGGCTGCCACACTCTGAATTCCACAAAGTGCCACTCAGAGTTGACCACTTACAGTTCCACACAGAGCTGAAAAGCAGAGAAAGAATGCAGGCCTTACTTATAGTTGTAGGCCTACATTCCAGAGCATTCCAAAGGAAAGAAACACTAGAATACAAAAGCAAAGAGCTACATTCCAGAGGGTTCTGTGGGGTTGACCCCTGAGGGTTCACGGGGCAACGGCCATTCCTAAACTGTACAAGTCTGGCCCACCAGAACTTATCCCATACAGTAACGGCGGTGTGCTGAATGGGTATATAACCATTGAATTGCAGAAGGTTCTGATAACTTCTGTAATTTGAGCTCCTTTTTAGGAACGGTTTGGCCGAGTGGTATGGTTCTTGGCGCTCGCCGTCACTCATACTGGAACTTGTAACGATCGTGACATACCACACCACTACGTAACATAGCCCAAAAGAGCAACTAGACTTGATTGGAAGATCCAATCAAGTAAATGGTATGTATAGTACGTATGAGGGTGTATAAGGTGATTGTTCCTCTATACGATCCTCACAGAACTTATCCTACACTGAGCCATAGCACTGCAATGGCATCCAGTTCAACAAATACTTATATTATTTAGTTAAAGAAAGCCGTAATCTAACTAAATAGAGTTTTTCTCTGTACTAGTTAACTAGGCCAAATACGGAAAAGTGGGCCATTCCAGAAGCAGTATAGCGTTTAACAGCCTCTAGGTCAAACTCGTATCGCTGTGATGAAGTCCATCATAACGGCACAGGTTTGACGTGGAGGCATTTAATGTCCTCGGCAAGACATTAAAGCGCTGGACTTCTCTCTTCTTTTTTGATCCTCCTCTCGTCAATCACTGTGACTTGCCCTCAGCAAACTTTGGCCGTTGCGAACGAGTTTGACGCCACGAAAACTCAAACTGGAGCTCTCCTGGGCAGGATGTTTAAACGCCTGTCTGCCACACTTTTGCCTCTGCGAACAAGTCCGACAATCCCAGCTCCCGATAACCCTGGCTCCGAATCCTCACTCCTGCCTTTGCGATGGACTCTTAGTGGTTCGAGTCTACAAGGGGGCTGCGACCTCTTGCACTTGTGCTTGGGTGTCGTCATCTTTTCATCACCGTCCTAGCTTAGTGGTAAAGCGTCCTCGAGTCACATTGAGGAAGAGAGCAGTTCGATTCTGCTGGGCGGCATACCTTTGTTTCGACGCAGACGGTCGTCGTTTGTTGTTTACCCCTGAATAGTCTTGTCATAGACAACGAAACAGTGGACGACCGATCCCCTGTAACCCCTATCTTGCAGCGGCCCCACATAGCTCGATGAGCCGCCAAACCCCGCCATAGGTATCACAGAACCTCCAGCTCTTTACACTGTATGACAACGCACCTGCGAGCAACCTTTATTACGACTTTCCTCTACTAGATGCGAATCTCCCTTCTTCCGAGGCTCATTGTATTTGTCTCTGGCTTGGTCTATTGATCTGCTCCCCTTCTCGACTGTACAATAGCAAGGACAAGCTTGTTTGATCATGTCATCTCAGGTAACACTGCGCAATCTCGCATGCTGACATGATGGGGTAAATCGGCCGCCGCTACGAAAATCATAGACGACCAACTACGGACGATCTCGTTCCCGTTAACGCGATATCAACAACGCGACAAAGCCTCAAGCCGCCAACAACACTACATACACGATCCATGATACCAATCCATTTTTGCACCGAACCATGGCCATAACCGACGTCCCGCCCGCCGACTGCCCGCCATGGCTCGTCCCCGCACACACAGTCCTGCTCAGCATCGGCGTGCTCTTCTGGGACGCGACCTACCTCCTCATGACGCACCGCGCCCTGTCCACAAAATCCTACGGCATGCCCCTCCTCGCGCTGGCCATCAACCTCTCGTGGGAGCTCGTCACGGTGCTGTTCGTCTGCGAGACGATGCTCGACACGATCGGGTTCTTCTTTTGGCTCTTTCTCGACATTGGCATCGTCTACACCACTGTCTTGTTTGGCCCGCGCGATTGGGAGGGGACTAGTCCGTTTATTGGGAAGAATATCGGGTGGATACTGGGTATCATGACGGCTGTTGCGTTTGTCGGGAATTATACGTTTACCATGTGGTGGCTTTCTGAGCCGGGGATTGGGTTTGGGAATAAGACGGGAAAGTGGTGGAGGGGTACAGAGGGGATTGACTCGTCCGAGTTGACGTTTTGGACTGCGGGTGTTGCGCAGGTTGTCTTGTCGGCGGGGAGTATCGCTATGCTGGTTGTGAGGGGCCATTCTGGGGGGACCAGTTATGCGATTTGGTAAGTTTTGCTGTTTTGTTTGTTTGCTTGTTTGCTTCCTTCACATTTCTCTGCTGTCCAGACGAAGCAAATCGGGCAGAGAATGGCAAATATGCCCGGCATCGGGTCTGGACCCTTGGAGCCGAAATGTTCGACGCCACACGCAAGTTGATCGCCGAACGGGCTTCAGCCATGCGTGTCAAACGTCTTGATCATTTTTTCCACTTGTAGCGCCGCGCATGCGGTCCCCAAGCCCATACTTGACGAGACTGAGTTAACAGATGCGTACATTATACAGGTTCTCGAGGTTCATGGGCACGGTATTCGGCCTCGTACTGGACAACCTCTTGATGTGGTGGTACTGGCCCGACGGCTACATCTGGCTGGTGCATCCCTTTGCCGTCTTCCTCTGGGGGACGTCCATCGCCTGCGACGTAGTGTACCCTTTTCTTCTCTATCAGATTCGCCGGTCAGAGATACAGCTTCCCGACGGTAGCCTCAAGCGTGGTGACGGGTCGAGCATGTCGGTTTCGGACAAGAAGACGAGGTAGCTAGGCGGTTGATATGGTATGCGTCATATGCAGTAATTCAGCAGCAAGTGGCCTGATAACGGTCGTGATCCTTGCCAGTGGCTGTCGCGGTTGCATATTGACAAGTTGACAGGCTCTTGTGTGGCGCCGCCAACCGCCGGACAAATGCACGACGGTTCGAAACCAGCTTTCTCGGCAGATGGGATCTATCATGTGCTATCTTTTGTGATGAGTTCGTACAGAGCACTCGTAATGACAGAAGCACGACGTGCTGTCCGCCAAAGGCGAAAATAAACGATTTGGGCCCGACAGTCTGGTAACGAGCCACTCCAAGATACTGTGCCGCTTTTTGTGGTTTGGGTGACATCCCAACATAATTATAGGATAGCAGCGCGTCTATCGCGTCCGCCTTGATGAGGAGGTATGCAAGGTTTTCTTTTCTCACTTGGGTGTCTCAACGGCATGCCACGCTCCGCACAAAAGCTCGTGGGGGGTTAGTCCAAGTGTATCGTCGAGTGGTTGGTGCAGAATGGGCGTTGGGCGGATAAACGTCACCCTTGTCTGGTGAAACCAAGATCTTCCACACCACCAGATTTATGGCTGGGCAGCTGGGTTGAGGTAGTTGAGGTCTGATACACTCACACAGTTCCCCTTTTTGCAAGGCCATGGTACGGATAGATTCATCCAGTTTCTGACATCACTAAAGTCCAGACCGACGTTGCGTCCATTGAACAAACGCCACGCCAAGGGTCGTACCAAACTGCCGGGTATTGCACTTCCCATTTCGTCCTTGTGCAGTGGAAAACGGACCGTGAGATGGTCTTGCCTCCGTTTTTGCTGGGAAGTACCTCTCCAACAGAAGCTTTGTATTGGGCTTTGGGGTATCGGTGTCACCATCCTGTTGATGGTGTGTTTGGGCATTGATGGCTGTTCTGCTTTCGCCAGTGATAGACACACACGAATCACTGATGATGCAAATGACTCTTTGGGATGCGGTCATCTTTGGATATTATCCGGGTTGATCTTGCTTTACAGTCAGTGATCATAAAGATTGACTATTCAAAGCGAGAGGGCCGAATCAAGCGGCAACGCATCATCTCCTTGACAGACAAGGTCAACAGGCTAGCACCAAAGTTAGCCATGCTCTCGGAGACTTCTCTGGGCTGCCTTCTGAACGGTTTATCACACCCTCAGTGGCTAGTGACCTGACCAGGAGGGCGGGGGTGCGCTCCCGAAGCCCGCTCAGCCACGGTTTAATTAATTCAGTGGCTCAGGTTGAACGCCGACTACCACCGTACGTGCATGACCCGATATTCAACTATCCGTGGTGTGACCAAGAGACTCTTACCACCACCAAAGCCCCGCAGCCAGTAATCCTCATCCGTTGTGCTTCTGCCCACATCACCTCCGCAGACAATTGGCGAACATCGAGTTCGGCGTCGAGTCCTATCTTTCTGAGTTAACTACAAATCTGATATCAAGATGTCAGAGCGTCTGCTCAACTGAAATGGAACGCCTGTCATTGGCTGCAGCTATTATTACGGTGATCTCAGCAGCCTCCAAGCTCTCCGGCCGCATCAAGGCCCTTTCCGAGGAGTTTAGGGTTCTTCCTGGAGACTTCATGAGCTTGCGCGACGAAGTAAGCGATTATCAGGCACCAAACATGTTGCCAAAAGTGGTCTTGTGTGAGGCTGCTGCGTATAATATGCTGACTGTGGTAATTCCTTGATAGGTTGAGACTACGCGCGGAATGCTCGAGATCATTAAGCAGTTTCTAGCTTCGGCTCCCTTTGACGAGATAGACATGCCTGTCTCCGAGACGGTTCAAATCCAGGCGACTTCCGATCTACTACGGACATATTTCGACGAGATTTTGCACCTTATAGACAGCGCCCGCCATGATGCGCTGGCAAAGCAGGGCCGGGGAAGGTTCGTCCTCAGGCTAGAAGCTTCGAGACAAAAGGAGGGTATTCTTCGGGAAAGAGATCGATTATCATCAGTCATGATGGGGTTGAATCTTCACTTACTTAAAAGGTTTCACTTACTTGAAAGGTATGGGGGCCCAAGTTGCTTACGAACACTCGGGAAACCCAAGACTGTAGAAACCAATGAATGTTGACACACCACTCAGATCCCTGGACAGCCCGACTCTTGTTTCCCCTTCGCTCAAACGTGTCGAGGCCTTCCGGCTCGAAGAGAAGCCGACCCAGTCATCACGGGCGGAATGGACGGTGGCACCCAAAAGATTGACCTCTCTTGAAATGGGAAAACTTTCCGGTCGCCAATTCTTCAAACTACAAAAACGATCGTTCGCACCAGTGGTACCAGTTGAAGCTCCAGGGGCCATGGACTTTCTCGTCCACGTCAAAACCATTTTATCTGGGAGATGTGGTAAGAGCTGTCGGTGCCAATGTCATGCGACTAATGCTCGGTATATTTTACAAACTACTACCCATCCAGAATGGTTCTCTCGCATCTTCGGCCATTTCTTTATGACCTAGAACCGCCTCCCTCTCCTGGGTTCGTCGTATTGCACAATCCGCTCATGTCGGCGCGACCCCGGGACGACCGTTACTTGCATGTACCACTTCCCGACTTGGTACTATTGGCGTCGTTCAGTACGACTGGGGGTGGATTTTGGAAAGCCCGGTATGGCTGCACACTTGAAATATATAGTACAGATTCCGTACAGCCATGATGTCTGGAATTCTCTGACGTGGAACAACATACCAAGGCTGAAGTATTTGTTTGGGACAAACATGCTTAGCCCTAATGTTGTCGGAGAGAATGGTGAGTCTCTGTTACTGGTGAGTGGCCATTTCCTAGTGTGACGACATCTATTTCGTGACGACATCTAATTCGTGACTGCGACGATACTAAATTGCACACTGTAGTACTGTCTGGACAACTTAAACTGCTGGCCTGCCGCCGAATTCCTGCTTATCCACTTCACTGGTTACGACGTCCAAGATCCTGACAGATATGGCAGGTGAGATTTCCACGTGGAAGTTGATACGGGCTCGTACATGTCTAATTTGATTCAATCTTCAAAGGACCGCACTTGATGCCGCAGTCCTGAAACTTGCCTTACGCGGAGATACAGCTTCCTTCTCCACCGAGGAGGCGCTGCTCTACCGCAAGATCATAGACATGGCTGTCTATGAAGATCATGATTATGCCATGAGCGCAATCGACGACGCGGCTGTAGGCCGTGCCAGCATCAGCCACCAAGACATTATTGACCCTACGGACATCAATCGCAGTGACTCGGGTGGCCGAAAGCAACTTCACTGGTCCACTCTCCGCGGTGATAGCAAGACCATAGCTGTTTTACTGCAGTATGGCGCGCATGTTGATGCTCGAGATCGTCTTGACAG